TACTTTAATTTGCATTAGTAAAATAATTTTTTCTCAGTGGTGAGGGCACCAAAATGGCTCCAGCCCAGGGGCCCACATTCTGGTGAATCCAGCCCTGGTTGGTGCTCCACAGGTTTGTGTTGACTGGGTATTTATATTGTGAATTATTCAAATTACCATTAACTACAACAGCAGTCAGAGTTAGCTTTCTTTTTTCAAGCAAAAAGAAAGTTTCTTGTGTTAAAAGTAGACTTTTTTTAAATTTAGACTAATAAATCATGAATCCAAGGTGCATTTAACAAAACCATTTTCTACAATGTTTCATTTTATTGCTGAATTTCCGAGTCCCAACATATCCGGGGTAAAGGTTTCAGCGTGATTTCCACTCGCCGTCCGTCTCTTTCCGCGTTGCTAAAGCATTAGCGCTGAGCGGCTAGCTGCCCCCCGGGAAAGTTGCCCGCTTCCTCGGCTTATTCGGCTCCGACTTCCCGCTTGGACCGCAGCACTCGAACCGAGAGGAGAAGACAAACTTTCAAGGTCTGTGAGCAGAAAGTTTGAACGCCGTTAACTCCGTTTAGATCCCTTTTGGTCCTGTTTACTGTGCGTGTTGTGCTAGCTAGCTTAAAACCCAACGGCTGATGATGATGATGATGCACTGACTGAGTCGAAACCGGGTTCATAAGAACGTTGGATGTTCACCCAGATGTTTCCTGTCACTCAGTGAGTCACTTCAAGGTTTACCCGAGTGTCAAACTGAGTTTGTGTTTTAATGACACAACTGAGGAGGTTCCAGGTTTAAGTAGATCCAGATGAACTGTTAGAACCTGGACAAACTTCAGGTTTGCAACAACAAAACGAATCAAAATGGTTCAGATTCACTCGAGTGGAGTCAGTTTGTCACCGTTAGCATCTGAAAAAACATTTCTGTATCCAGTCCTGCTCAATAAAACCTAGAGCTGCAAATAATAATTAAAAAAAGACCTGTTGAATAGAGAACATTTGGAGTTTTTGTTGAGAAAATTATTTGTGTTTTTAGTTTATTAATTAAAGAAAAACCTAAAACTTCTGCCAAAACAAGATGGATTAATTTCCTTGCATTGGAAATTATGTAAACAAAATGAAAAGAAGAAAGATTATAAATGTATTATTGTTAGTTTTCATCAACTCAATTCACTAAGTGCAACATATTACGTAGATTAATTACACACAGACCGATGTTTTCAACTCTTTATCTCTATTAATTATGATTTCGCTGCTTGCATATAATGGAAAAGAAGCATTTAGGAATATTACATCAGATCAATTTTTAAAAGAATTATGCAGAAATTATAATCTCTGTATAATTACAGAATTATGTGGTATTATTAATGAACGGAAATAAAACCCACAGACAACCGAAATTAAAAATAAAATGGCTTCGTAGACAAAATTTCGCTTCAATAAATCTGAATTGAAATTATCAAGCCCATTTGAACTCGTTGTGATTAATGGATTGATTAATTGTTTATTAAAAAGTAATTTTGGTTATCCTAGCTAAAACTGAAAAATGTTAGTATTAATTGAATATTGAGTATTTTATGTAAACTTATGCTCTCAAATATTTTAATGGGTTTTAATTTGACTTAAATAAACAAGGTTTTCCATTGGTTTGCTAAACCTATTCAGATGTACTTAAAAAGTGTTCATAATTTAATCATTTAAGCTGATTTATTTTGGTAAATGAAGCTGAATTTTCTGGTCATTTAGGCCAGAAACAGGCAGCAGGAGACATCCTGCAGTACAATATGGAGTTGCAGTGTAATATTTGCCACCGTTGTGACACAGACGTCAAGCTGTCAGGGCGCTGCAGCTGATTCACATGTGGTGAGAAACCAGAACATTGGCGCCAATCAGCTGAAGAGGAGCGGATCTTCCAGGAAGCAGCTTAGGGAAAACTCTCGCTGTTTTCAGCATGTGATCAGGTAGGGCTGGGCGATCAATCCACTTTATTGATTAATCACAGTTTTGGTTTTTGAAGGACAGTTTAAAAAAAAAAAATTCCACCAATGCACTTCTTGGGTTTCTCAGTCTCGAGTGATGTCAGCACGCTCAGGGCGGCCATCTTGATACACAAGTGTGTTTTACAGCTTTTGTTTATTTGGACTTTGAATTTAAATCAACTTGACGATGGAATATAAACCAAGATTTTTATTTCAATTGGAGGAATAAAGTCATAATATTACAATAATAGAGTTGTAGTAATCCCAGAATAAAGTTGTGTGGCAAAGTTGACATAATGCGAGAATAAAGTGTTAATATTACCAGAATAATGTTGCAATATTAGTAGAATTAAGTGAAACTTTTATGAGAGCATCAACGTGAAAAATAATTTTAAAAAGTTTATAGTTTGGTATTTGTTTTACAGATAAGAAAAGAAAAAATATTTCAAATTTCTCAAATTTTTATCAGAAGAAAGAACCACAAACTGAGCTGAAGTTTTTTTCACTAAAATGTATTTTTCTTGTCATTTTAAGACTTTTTCTGATAAAATTGCCTCATCATTGCTCATATTATGACTATAAATAAAGCATGGCCCTAATACTCTCTCACACAACTCGCAGAAGATTGAAAATATTTAGTTTAAAAAGAAGAAACTGAGAAAGAAACATAAGTATTAAAATTGGACCTTGTATGGAAAAATCAGATTTTATTTTCAAGCTCTATCGCCCAGCCCCACAATCGGTGGCAATGTGCCACAAATTTAAGTCACATTTAACTTTCCTTTAGGCTTTTGTGAACGTTTAGAAATGCTTGTTATTCCAGAACAAGCCTTTTTATTTCATTTCTATAATTTTTATATCATTACCTTGTTTTGCAGGCGGTCGGATCTGGCTAAAGTTTGTTAAACAGTTAATGCACAAGATAAAGAGGCTGAAAACCGACGACAAAACAGAAGACGGCCAGGAAAGGTAAGAGGTTTTTATTTATATGGGTCAAAAAACACTTCATTTTCCTGTTAAATCTAAAAAAAAAGCATTTTGTTTTTCAGATCTTGGCTTCATAAAATTAACACTTGACATCCCAGCCAGCACACCTAGGTGGGCCCCATATGGGATATAAGTGGGCAGGCAATATGGGTCCCAAAAGGGTTTGTCCACGGTTTCCATGGTGGGCCCCACATGGGTTTGCCCAGGTTGATTTCAATGGGTGCTAACTGGGTTTCAGTGGGTCCCACATGGTTAACTTACATGAGGCTCATCTGTGGCCCACTAGGGTGCTGTCAAGAATATTTACGTGGGTCCCTATTGGGTCTGAACTGGGCTAGAATATGGGTACCAAGTGGGTTTGTCCACGGTTTCCATGGTGGCCCCACATGGGTTTGCCCAAGTAAATCTTTATGGGTGCTAACTGGGTTTTCAGTGGGTCCCACATGGTTAACTTACATGAGGCTCATCTGTGGCCCACTAGGGTGCTGTCAAGAATATTTACGTGGGTCCCTATTGGGTCTGAACTGGGCTAGAATATGGGTAACAAGTGGGTTTGTCCACGGTTTCCATGGTGGCCCCACATGGGTTTGCCCAGGTTGATTTCAATGGGTGCTAACTGGGCTTTCAGTAGGGCCCATGTGGTTAACTCACATGGTGGCCCCACATGGGCCCACCCTAGTGGGCCCATCTGTGGCCCACTAGGGTGCTGTCAGGAATATTTACCTGGGTCCCAATTGGGTCTGAACTGGGCTAGATATGGGTAACAAGTGGGTTTGTCCACGGTTTCCATGGTGGCCCCACAGGGGTTTGCCCAGGTTGATTTCAATGGGTGCTAACTGGGCTTTCAGCGGGACCCAGATGCCTTAATCCTGTAGGAACAATTCTCATCTAACCTGGATGTGAATTACATTCATAGATATGCAATCTTGATCAACAATCCAAAGTCCAGCTTAAAACGTGTTCAAATAAAAAATAAAAAAAAAAAGAGATGAAAAATTTATTTGCTCAAGGCTTTTATTTAGTAATTTAAAATATTGTCAGGAGTTATTTTTTACCTCACTACAGCAATTATTAGAACTTCATTAATACTCAGGGAATGGTGCCACAAAAAGAAATCTGCAATTATTCACGACATCTTTGAAAATAACAGAAGCTAGTTTACTATAACAAACTTATAAACAGATCTATAAATATATATCTATAGATGCACACAAATACACCTACATATTTTCCTACAGGTCTATAAATGTATACATCTAAATACTATCTATATAACTTTATACACGTATATTCACATTGATACACACAATGTGAATATACACACCTATATAGATCTTTCACAATACATTTTTGTTAAACATTTTTAAAAATAACCTACATGCCATATGCATGCTTAAATTTGAAATCTCTCATACTTTACTGAAACTGTCCATCTTGAAAGACCTCCCCAACCTGAGTTTGAACTGGCAGTCTCTCTAGTCTATTTCCACTTCCACTCGGGCTCCAGTAAACCACTTTGAGAGTCTTTGCTGTATGCTTGTGTGATTCTGTAGATGGATAATTTCTTTTAAGTCCCCTGAAATAACAAGCAAAGGTAGAAATTGTATTAGTGTTTCATTTTAGCACAATGTAACATTCATGAGATTTGCATCTCCCCTTCATGGGGCAAAAATGCTTGCAGAAATATGCCATAATCAAAAGGACTCTTGAGTCATCATTATTATGTACAGAAACTATATTCTTACTGTAAATTTAAAATATATCCATCTATATAAATCAACTACTAGGTTCTATCGTGGTTTTGTGGTTATTTTAATATTGTTTGAAATGCAAACAATATTACCTTCAAATTTTTAAGTTCTTAACAACAGTGAAAGAATACTGTTCAAATAAAACCAAAAATTGAAGACTCAATTTTTAACCTAAAAACATTACTAAAAATAACAAACAAAAGCATAAAACAACCAAAATAAATTAACATATGTTTAAAAAGAAAAGTGAAAAAAAAAAAGTTACTCTGACAATAAAAACTGATATTTACCATACAAACATCAAAGAGACGCAGGTCCAAGAGCTTGTTTCCAATGTTGGCCAAAAAGGTTGAACTGGACTTCCAGTTCATGGGACATGAGGAATCGCACAGCTGGTTGTATTGTGTCATCTAAGGATGCTCCTCCAATTTCTGTAGCCATGGCAACCTTAAGTACAATGACAATAACAGGACAACATTTTGTTTTTGTTCATCAGTTTGTCATTATATCACTCTTATGTGCTTAATTTTACTAACATATTAATCTACCTTTTTCAAATCATTATAAAGTGATCTTCACACGCTGATCCTCTTGAAGCCTGCAAAAATATATATTTTATTAGTGCAATATAACATTTAGACTTTTCAAAAAAATAAAAAAATTAAGGCAAAACAGCCTTTGTATGATTAACTACTGAAGCCTTATATTGTAAACACTGAACAGTTTTGCAATTATCCTAATTTCTTTGTTAACGTGACAGGACTAAGACAGTAGTATTACTCTTAAGAGAAGTTTAGAAAATCACTATAAATGTAACTAATAAAGCCTAAAACATTGCACATATAAAAAAATTAGAGCTACAATTAAATATAAGTACATTTCACATAACTGCTAGCTAAATATTGCAAAAATATCAAAAAGAATTTCTTCATCTTTCAATATTTGTTTCAGGCTTGGCCACTGATTGACATGATGGGTTTCAATTTACGGACCCACATGCAGTAACCACACGTTGGATAGGGATGAGTGAGTGATTTATTTACAACAGGACAAAATAAAATCTATTTCCCGGACATCAGCGGAAGGGTGAGGACCACTCGACCAGGTTGGCCTGAACGAACTTAGTTATGACGGGCTTAGAATGAGTGATCGGAGGGGAAACAGGAACAGGCTTACTTCGGTGCGGGTCTTTCGAGGCGTGGGTGTGAGATGCCAGGTTCCTGAGAGAGGGTGTGCAGCGGTTCCGAAGGTAAATGCGAGGTGGGAATGGAAGAGAGCTGGAAGCTCGAAGGGTGGAGTGGAGGCAGTGGAATCGGCGGAGCGAGCAGGCAGGTATTCACTGGTGAGTTCTCGAATGAGGCGACAAAACCCCTAGGATCGAACAAACACAGAGACCAGGTGACTTCTAGTAGACACAGAAACGTTCTCAGAAAACTGTTCACAACAGGAGAGGCCAGAGTGACTACCGGTGTATGCAACCATCTAGCATACACCAGTAGAATCTTCAGTCAATCTAGCGTAGACTGAAGATTCTGCTGCTCCTCCACCTGTGCCAAGCTCCACGGGCTCCTCACAAAGATCCTCGCTGAAATAAGATGCGACACTCACATACACACACAGGAACCCTGACACTGATGACTACTCTAGACCAACACAATAGCGGCAGATTGAAATAAACTATGACATAACAAAACGCTTTAAAGTGTCACACAACAATTAAAAAAAGAATTTAAAAATATGAACTACAATGCCTTCATCCTATTTACAAAAAACCTTTTAGGCCCAATATACTGAAACCACATGGGCCCCATATAGTGTTCCCATTTCTGTCCCATGCCCGGTTAGCCCACGTTAATGCTGAATTGGGCCCATACATTTAACCCAATTGAGCCAACAATATGAGTCCCATTTCGGTTAACCTTTTGAGCCTCACGCAGTTGGCCCAGATAAAACCCATGCCCTCTTATCATTACCTATATAGCCCAAAGCTAAACGATTCAATGCAGTTTTATTGAAAAAAACGACAATAATAATCTTGCATGGGTCCCAGCCAAACCAGCCTGAATCCATACATGAGACCCACCCATGCATGCTGATGTGACTGTGAGAAAGATTATTAAAAGCCCAAGTACATAGAATGAAAGCACAATAGTTACTCTTTTTAAATCATACAAATGGTTTTATTGTGTCCAGACACTTTGTAACAACCTCTGCTAGCAACATAGATTCTTCAGTGAACCGATTTCATTCTGCCTCGTTGGCGCTCAAATGAACCAATGGCAGCTCAACAAATAGAATGGCGGCGGTATTTGAAAATGGTTTGGCCCACAACGCTGCGTTTGAAATCGGTCTGCACTAAAATCTGCCTATTGTGTGTAGCTGTGTGTGTTAGCAATATCAGAAAAAGTATCACCCTAAAGAAAAGCAAAAATAACAATAACAATTAAGCCTCTTTTGGGATACTGTCGTCCGATTTGTTACGAGCAACAATTTTTTTAACAAGCGATTTAAAATCTCTCCCTAAAATTTGGTACTAGGTAAAACAGAAGAAATGTACTTACAGATTCTTTCGTAGATCAGCCAACAGGCAGACTCCGCGCCAACGGACTGATGAAGAGAACAGGCTTGATTTTGAAACCGCATATCCATCCGCGGGTCATTTTACGTTTTCCAAGAAACACAAGATTAATTTTTGAGAGTGCTACATCGGTTTAACAAATGTAAAACCGATGTTGCAAAAGTTCTCAATGTAAATAAATACATTTCGTTGTCCTCCTTATTCAAATATGTTTTGGAACTATTTTCTTCAGTGGATGTGTAAAGTGCCTACCGGTACTTCAATTCACCAACCTTTATTGGCAACGGTGCCTCAGAGCAAACAATGAACAAAAAGGTAATTGGAACCAAATGAATCATTAACAGAAATGTTACGTTTTTTTATTTTTTATTTTTATTTATACTGATGACTTGGAAAATGTTTGCAAATATATGAAAAAACAGATGCTCAAAATTTTACTCTTGTCTCTCACTTGCTAATGTTTTTTGTTTTTCTAAACATTTTGTGATATTTTTCACAATGGTCTGATCTGAACTATTTGTCCAAATAAAAATTTAAATCTTGCTGCGAACAGGCTGCAGTAAACTCTATGGATGTCTAAACATCCAATTGATAAAAAATAATAATAAAAATAAAATAAAAAGTTATTATTATTAAAAATAAAACAAGGACTAAAGCTCAACCATGACCACTCTGCTTAATTTTGAGTAAGCACCAGAATATGAGTTTACGTATATATTCAAACAGATTATTTCAAAAAAATGTTTTAAGACATTCAGACTGCAATAATAAAATGAAAAAAAGTTAGGGGTTCAAAGTGTAGCAAGAGCAATACTGAACTGGCTTTTGCTTTGACATACAGTGAAAAGTTTGAAAGTGACAGGGTAACCACATTGTCGATTAAAATGTTCTACAATTTTGTCCCATTTAGACCATGAAAAAAAGTACTAGGGGCTACATTTTCCTGCCCAGGTCCAACCCATGTATGGTTAGCCCATGCTCATGTCATGTTAGTTTAATGTGGACAGCCCACATTGGGCTTCTCATGTGGGGCCCATGATACTGAAACCACATGGGCCCCAAATAGTGTTGCCCATTTCTGTCCCATTTCCAGTTAGCCCACATTGTTGCTGAATAGGGCCCATACATTTAGCCCAAATGGGCCAGCCCATAGGGGTCCCATTTTAGTTAACCATATGTGTCCCATGAGGTTTGCCCAGATAAAACCCATGACCACTCATTACCCATATGGCCTACTACAAACCCAAGGGGGGCCCACTCATGCGTACTGGCTTGGAGACTGGACTGGACTGTTCTAGCATAAAATAATAACATGAAAAAATGTTAAGGGTTCAAAGTGTGGCTAGAGCAATACTGAACTGGTTTAAAAAAATAAAGCATTGTAGAATTATTTTTAATGTTTTAATATCCTGGTCCTCTGGAAGCCTAGTGTTTGTAAATGAGCCAGGCATAGATATCACACAGTGAACATGTTTTAGGTTCAAACATTAGGAAGACATGGATGTTCTGTTCTATCAGCAAAATATATCCTTGGGTGATCTCCAAGACGAGGTCACCTTCGTCCTGGAGACCTCGACAATGGTCAAGGTCACCAACCTTTACTATCGTCGAGGTTTCCTACAAGAAAAAAATTAAATTCTACAATTTACCTTAAATCAACTCCATTAGAGGCCAGCTGAGTAACAATTGCCTTGGCAAAGACTATAAAGCTGACATCTCGGGTAATTCTTTCCAAGTTTTGAGAATCTTGCTCTTGCAGCTTTTGCTTTGACATACAGTCAAAATTTTGAAAGTGACAGGTTAACTACAGGGGTTGGACAATGAAACTGAAACACCTGGTTTTAGACCACAATAACTTATTAGCGTGGTGTAGGGCCTCCTTTTGAGGCCAATACAGCATCAATTCGTCTTGGACAAGTATGGGGCCAAGGGAATGCCATGATATGGCAGCCCACACCATCAATGATCCACCCCCATGCTTCACTCTGGCATACAACACTCTGGCTGGAATGCATCTTTGGGGCTTCTCCACACCGTAACTCTCCCGGATGTGGGGAAAACAGTAAAGGTAGACTCATCAGAGAACAATACATGTTTCACATTGTCCACAGCACAAGATTTTCGCTCCTTGCACCATTGAAACCGACGTTTGGCATTGATACGAGTGACCAAAAGTTTGGCTATAGCAGCCCGGCTGTGTATATTGACCATGTGGAGCTCCCGACGGACAGTTTTGGTGGAAACAGGAGAGTTGAGGTGCACATTTAATTCTACCGTGATTTGGGCACCGTGGTTTTATGTTTTTGGGATACAATCCAGGTTAGCACCCAAACATCTCTTTAAGACAGCTTCATCTTGCATCCACAGTTAATCCTGTTAGATGTGGTTCGTCATTCTTGGTGGTATGCTGACATTACCCTGGATACTGTGGCTCTTGATAATCACAAAGACTTGCTGTCTTGGTGAACAATTTGCCCTCTTTTGAACTCCAGTATGTCCCAAATAATGTTATGTGCATTGCAATATTTTGAGCAAAACTGTGCTCTTACCCTGCTAATTGGACCTTCACACTTTGCTCTTACTGTTGCAATGTGCAATTCATGAAGATTGGCCACCAGGCTAGTCCAATTCAGGCATGAAACCTCCCACACTAAAATGAGAGGTGTTTCAGTTTCATTGTCCAACCCCTGTACATTGTTCTACAATTTTGTCTCATTTAGCCCACTTAAAAAAGGACTGGGGTCTACATATCCACACCCAGGTCCAACCTGGGCGTGGATATGTACTGACCACACTGAACCCACAGTGGGTTCAGTGTGGTCAGCCCACATGGTCTCCCCATGTTGGGCCCATGACATGAGCCCATGCTGATGTCATGTGGGTTCAGTGTGGTCAGCCCACATGGTCTCCCCATGTTGGGCCCATGATACTGAAACCACATGGGCCCCACATAGTTTTGCCCAGTTCTATCCCATTCCCAGTTAGCCCACTTAAAAAAGGACTGGGGCCTACATATCCACACCCAGGTCTAACCCATATATGGTCAGCCCATGCTGATGTCATGTGGGTTCAATGTGGTCTGCCCACATGGGCTTCCCATGGTGGGCCCATGATACTGAAACCACATGGGCCCCATATACTGTTGCCCAGTACTATCCCATTCCCAGATAGCCCACTTAAAAAAGGACTGGGGCCCACATATCCACAACCAGGTCTAACCCATATATGGTCAGCCCATGTTGATGTCATGTGGGTTCAATGTGGTCAGCCCACATGGGCTTCCCATGTTGGGCCCATGATACTAGAACCACATGGGCCCCACATACTGTTGCCCAGTACTATCCCATTCCCAGATAGCCCACTTAAAAAAGGACTGGGGCCCACATATCCACACCCAGGTCTAACCCATATATGGTCAGCCCATGCTGATGTCATGTGGGTTCAATGTGGTCAGCCCACATGGGCTTCCCATGTTGGGCCCATGATACTAGAACCACATGGGCCCCACATACTGTTGCCCAGTACTATCCCATTCCCAGATAGCCCACTTAAAAAAGGACTGGGGCCCACATATCCACACCCAGGTCTAACCCATATATGGTCAGCCCATGCTGATGTCATGTGGGTTCAATGTGGTCAGCCCACATGGGCTTCCCATGTTGGGCCCATGATACTAGAACCACATGGGCCCCACATACTGTTGCCCAGTACTATCCCATTCCCAGATAGCCCACTTAAAAAAGGACTGGGGCCCACATATCCACACCCAGGTCTAACCCATATATGGTCAGCCCATGCTGATGTCATGTGGGTTCAGTGTGGTCAGCCCACATGGTCTCCCCATGTTGGGCCCATGATACTGAAACCACATGGGCCCCACATAGTTTTGCCCAGTTCTATCCCATTCCCAGATAGCCCACTTAAAAAAGGACTGGGGCCTACATATCCACACCCAGGTCTAACCCATATATGGTCAGCCCATGCTGATGTCATGTGGGTTCAATGTGGTCAGCCCACATGGGCTTCCCATGTTGGGCCCATGATACTAGAACCACATGGGCCCCACATACTGTTGCCCAGTACTATCCCATTCCCAGATAGCCCACTTAAAAAAGGACTGGGGCCCACATATCCACACCCAGGTCTAACCCATATATGGTCAGCCCATGCTGATGTCATGTGGGTTCAATGTGGTCAGCCCACATGGGCTTCCCATGTTGGGCCCATGATACTAGAACCACATGGGCCCCACATACTGTTGCCCAGTACTATCCCATTCCCAGATAGCCCACTTAAAAAAGGACTGGGGCCCACATATCCACACCCAGGTCTAACCCATATATGGTCAGCCCATGCTGATGTCATGTGGGTTCAATGTGGTCAGCCCACATGGGCTTCCCATGTTGGGCCCATGAAACTAGAACCACATGGGCCCCACATACTGTTGCCCAGTACTATCCCATTCCCAGATAGCCCACTTAAAAAAGGACTGGGGCCCACATATCCACACCCAGGTCTAACCCATATATGGTCAGCCCATGCTGATGTCATGTGGGTTCAATGTGGTCAGCCCACATGGGCTTCCCATGTTGGGCCCATGATACTAGAACCACATGGGCCCCACATACTGTTGCCCAGTACTATCCCATTCCCAGATAGCCCACTTAAAAAAGGACTGGGGCCCACATATCCACACCCAGGTCTAACCCATATATGGTCAGCCCATGCTGATGTCATGTGGGTTCAATGTGGTCAGCCCACATGGGCTTCCCATGTTGGGCCCATGATACTAGAACCACATGGGCCCCACATACTGTTGCCCAGTACTATCCCATTCCCAGATAGCCCACTTAAAAAAGGACTGGGGCCCACATATCCACACCCAGGTCTAACCCATATATGGTCAGCCCATGCTGATGTCATGTGGGTTCAATGTGGTCTGCCCACATGGGCTTCCCATGTTGGGCCCATGATACTGAAACCACATGGGCCCCATATACTGTTGCCCAGTACTATCCCATTCCCAGATAGCCCACTTAAAAAAGGACTGGGGCCTACATATCCACACCCAGGTCTAACCCATATATGGTCAGCCCATGCTGATGTCATGTGGGTTCAATGTGGTCAGCCCACATGGGCTTCCCATGTTGGGCCCATGATACTAGAACCACATGGGCCCCACATACTGTTGCCCAGTACTATCCCATTCCCAGATAGCCCACTTAAAAAAGGACTGGGGCCCACATATCCACACCCAGGTCTAACCCATATATGGTCAGCCCATGCTGATGTCATGTGGGTTCAATGTGGTCAGCCCACATGGGCTTCCCATGTTGGGCCCATGATACTAGAACCACATGGGCCCCACATACTGTTGCCCAGTACTATCCCATTCCCAGATAGCCCACTTAAAAAAGGACTGGGGCCCACAT